AAATAAACACATAAAAATGAGGGGACACTGAATAGTTTTTGACTTGACACCTTTTTTTACAAATTTCTTCTTCTACAGTGAAAATATATATGGTCAGCCTGAAATTCTTAAACAAAACACTGCGAATGGGATAGCGTAAAAGATAAAATTTTATGAACATTTTGTCCCTAATATATATCGAAACATGAGTAAAGGGAATGATATAGAAAATGCTGAAAAACAGAAAATAACAAAGTTATTAAGTGACGGAATGTTCACAGTGGAGATATCAATGGGGCTTTGCAGAGATCATGGAACAATAAAGGAGGCTGTTGAAAATATAAGTAACTTGGGAACTCGAAGGAAAGGAAACAGCTTTAAGAATACGCTGCCTCGAAATGAATGTAAACTAAAGCGAGATAGCGCAAAACAGCCATTTTTGACTAGCGTTCAGAGATTTGAAAAGCCGGCAAGGAGTCAAGAAGGACAAAATGTGTAAAATACTTTGTGAATTGGGATCTGTAAAAAAATCTATGCAAACTACTCTCACTAAAGCATATATTTTAAAGCGTCAAAATTGTGCCAAGAAATACATAAAAATTGACATTTCTAAATGAATTTCGAGTGACATTTGATGGAACTGACAGATGAACCAAGGAATGGATTTTATCGAATTCAGACGCAACTGTGGCTAAAAGAAGGCATCAAAGAGGCGGTAGTGTTATGATATGGACTGAAATTGTCGACCAAAGCATTGTTGAACCATTCGGATTCGATGAACGAGTTAAACCGAACAGTGCTAACTATTAGGATTTTTATGAAGAAGTCTTTCATTGCATGATACAATGAGAGTCTTGTGTATTTATGCTCGACAATGCTCCTTCTAATATATATATATATATATATATATATATATATATATATATATATATAAGCTTATCCGTGAATTCTTCGAACATAAAAGATTTACAGGAGAGAAAATGGTGGAATGGCCACCATCAAGTTCTGATTTGAATCCGATCGAAAATATTTGGTTAATTGTGAAGATGGAATTATATGATGGTGGCAAACAATATAACAGCAAAGCAGAACTATGAGAAACAATTAAAATTATCATGTCGGAAATTGAACCTTCGAAAAAAAAAAAAAAAAAAAAAGAATCAATGGATGATACTGGCTGTTATTGTGAAGAAGGATTACTATATTAAAATGTAAATGATTCAATGACTTATCATATATGATTGTTATTTGTTCTATTATAGGTGTTGATCGATGTTTGATGATTTGTTAGTTTTTTATTGGAGTAAAATGTGATTATTTGGTTTTGCCTAATAACTTCAGACAGATGTTTTTAGATTACATCAAATAACTTCAATGAAACGCATTGGTAATACCTTTGTTTCGATATCTAAATTGTTTAACATTTTACAATTTTTTTCAAACCAAATTTGTATTATTGAAGTTTATATAATTTGCTTCATAACTTCACTGAGGGTATAGATAGATAGATAGATAGATAGATAGATAGATAGATAGATAAATAGATAGATAGATCTGGAATGATTGCGATGGGAGATAGATTTTGTGATAAGGGTTTAACACAGTTCCCTGTCCTATGTATCTCTCAGTAAATTTTATAATTTTACTCTCTTCTCTGAACTGTGTTCTGCTATCGATTTATTCAAGCGCTAGATAGGTTATGCGCTGTTTGTCCCTGTTATTCTTGTCTTGTGAATGACATATTTTACAAGCTTTCTTTACTCATTATATGTCCCAGAAATTGTCTCTTTCTGATGTTAAGTATAAGTGTCCTTTTTGTTTTCATTTTCTCTAAAACTTCGTCGTTATTCACATGTTCAGACCATGCTATTCTCACATCCTTGCGTAAAACCATGTTCTTGTTGTCTGAAGTTTCTTCTACATCTGAGGAGAGATTGCTCAGCATTCATTGCTATACAACAGGACTGACATTACGTCATATTTCAGTACACGTTTCTTTTTTTCCTAACGTAATTTTCAGATTTATTAATATGTAAGTTATCTTTTGGAAGATATTTACCACTAACCCAATTCGTCTTCGAACCAGGAAGCTTATTTATATAAATTCCCCATATCTGATAAGCTCTGTTTAAATTATTCGGACTATTGTCCTCATTTAATCCTCATATTTGTTACAACGTTTCGGCCGTTGTACGCTCCGGCTTTCTTCACCTGGTTGGAATGTCGAACTGAACCCTTTATATCGCTCACTGGGGTAGAATATTTTAGTTCCACGTGCCATGTCTAATGGATGTCAGTTATCAGTTATCTCCTGTTAATTCCCCTCTCCAAGTTCTCCACCGCCTTAACCAGGTATTGAACTCACACTCTTTGGGTCCTGTCACTGGATCTAACCAACCCCTTTATCCACTGTGCCATGTGTCCTTGTATATGTATAATCTAATATCGCATTTTCTTCAAAACCCTGAGACATAGTAGATAATAATTGTAATCATAAACAAATATACAGATAAATAGACAGGTAGATATCAAATATCTACGATAGATAGATAGATAGATAGATAGATAGATAGATAGATAGATAGATAGATAGATAGATAGATCTGGAGATATTGCGATGTTAGAAAGATAAAATGAATGAAAATATCTCCAAAAGGAATACAGAAAAATAGCGGAGAAGGAGGAAGATTTGAAAGAGAATTGACAAAATAAGAAAGAGCCTATGTAAAAAAAAGAAAAATAATTAATGAGAATGAAAATATATACAATTTGAATGCAAGACCTAATTGAACGTAAGAAGGAAAAATATTGGAAGGAAAGAGAAATGATGATCGTTGGTGAGCGTTATTGTAAGTGAAAGGCAATTGAATGTGACACATTGTAAGAAGATTAAATATATTGAAAACTTCGCGTACGGAGCATTGGGAAAATAATTTCTGAATAAGAAAGCAGAAAAGCAAATGAGAATATCAGCAAATATGTCGGGCTTGAAAGTATAAAAAGGCATGTTGTAAGAATGTTTCAATTTAAGTCCCGATTCATCAACGCTATTTTTATTGTCGAGCAGATCAATAAATAGACGCGAGGTAAGCGAATAAAAGATGAAAGAGACGAATGTGACATCAATAGGCAACGAGTGAATGAGTTCATGTAGAAAATAGCCAAAAAAGAAATAGTGAAGTCAATATTGGTAGAAAGGAAATAAAAATAAAATCGGTCAGTATGAGTCGAAGTAAAGAAGGAAAATGTTTTTAATTTAGAAAATAAGATAAAAGACAGTTAAGGCAGACATGGGCGATTGAATGAATTTGTAAAAGTATAAAAATACAGTTAAAGGAAAATTAGAAAAATAAAAAAGGCAAAACAAAATGTTAAAGTGTTAAAGTTGAAATACCACGTTCAATGAATTTATAAATTAATAAATGAAAGTGAAATGGGAAACTATAAATAAGACATAATACAGGGAAGCTTAAAAAAAGAAGTGAAATCAATGAAAGAGAAAGGAAATTAGAAATTAAAATTGTAGAATTTTTAAAAGAAAAAGGAAAAAAAAAAAAGCAAGATGTCCAAATGAGTGAATTTTTGAAATTCGAAAATAAAAATGGAAGAAATATTAAAAAGAGCAGAAAATGAATCTAGGTAGGTGTAAAGGAAGTACAGATAAAATTGGCATAAAGGAATCGAAAACAAGAAGTAAGTATTTCTTTAAAAATAGAGAAAAAAAAAAATAAAAGCAGGTATAACCGAGCAAATGAATTCACGGAAAAAAAAAGAAAAGAAAAAAAAGAGAATATGAAAGAAAGATTGAAAAAATAAAGAAAATACATAAAATCAAACGTTGAAGGAGTAAAATCAATGTAGATACAGTGTAACCCGGATATAAGAGAGTTTCCGGGACCGGAGAAGAAGTCTCTTATACCCGGGTTTCTCTTATATCCGGGTTTCTCTTATATCCGGGTTTCTCTTATATCCGGGTTTCGTCTATTTTGTTTAGGTAAGTATGGCTCTAATTTGGGACCAGAGAAAATCTCTCTTATATCCGGGTTTCTCTTATATCCGGGTTACACTGTACAATAAAAATAAGGATAACATTCGTAAGAATGAGTTGAAGGAATGTCTAATAAGTGTTTTTAAAAAAATTTACAAAGGCAGAGTGAATGAAATTATGAAAATGACAAAGAATGTGAGACGAGAATTGAAAATACAAAATGACAAACCGAAAAAGAATCGAAAACACAGAAACAGAAAAAGAAAAAAAATCGTAAAAAGGCAAGAAATCAATAATAATGGAGAAAAGAACACAGAAACTAAAACTGTAAGAGGAAGACATAAGATAAATTATCATGCTAACATAAAAATCGTCGAGTGATTGAATTTATGAAACAATAAAAGAGATTAAAGCAGGTATTGAAAAAATTAAAACATAACAGCAAGAGCAACAAGAAAAATGGACAAAGATCGAAAAATAAAGGAAAAAGGTAGAAAGATACAACAAAAGTAAAAGGAAAGGGAAATAAAAATTACCAAGGAAGATAATATTTTAAGAATAAATTTAAAATCTAAGAGAAATATAGCTCGTGAAATATTGTGTTGTTGATAAAACTGACGAATGAATGAATATAGGAAAAAATAATTGAATGTGAGAGAAACTTAAAAAAATAAAACAACAGAACAATAAAAGAAAAAGCAGAAGAGAAAGAACATAGAGAATGAAAAAAAAAGGGGGTAAAATAATCAAAATGTAAAGTAAAAATATAAAGTTGGAAAATAGATCAACGAATGAGGTTAGAAAAAGTGGAACATACAGATAAACTAAATACAGTGGGCCGAAAATGAACGAACAAAAATAAAAAAAAAACAAAAGGGACAAATAAATAAAAAAAAAATTGATGCGAAGTAAGATTTATAGGAAATGGTAAAAATGAGTTTAAGTGGGCTATATAATCAGATAGAAAAATAAATAGTGAAAAAAATGATTCATGCAAGAATTTGTCTAAAAAGATTCAAAAGACGAATACGAATCAGAGGAACATATTGAAAGACCGCCTAGTGAATGGAAATAAAGAAGAAGAAAAAAGAACACTTTCTATCAAGAGAAAAAGTGGATGACACAAATATAGAAAACTCATCATGAATAAGCAAGAGTTAACGAATACTGTTGAAAGGAGGAAAAACACAGACAAAATGGAAATGATTAAAAGAATGGCGAAGAGAGAAAGAATGCCAAAAATAAATGGAAATAATAAACTAGGAATTAACATAAGAAAAAAAAAATAGACTGCATTTTTTAATCATATCAACCGATGCAAGGTATTAAAGCCACTAAGACGCAAGGTGTTACTGAGTGTGAAAGAACAAGAAAATAGAGAAATATTATGAAAGAGAGACAACAGTTGAACACTAATCAAAACTACAGTAGATAACGATTTACATTGCGTTTATATGTTTGAAGATTAAAACTGGCTGAAAAGAATGGAGCCGAAAGAAATTTTCACAAGCCAGAAGTGCGAGAAAATAAACTGTTAGCATAATACTAACGGTTAAATCTAGCCAATTCAACCGCGAATTAATGAGACATTGCCATCAGTCTAGAGCTGCGCTTAAATTCTAGCTACTAAGTGAAAATTCCTCTGAACAATTACTATGAAAGAATGTGTAGAAAAGATACAGAGAAGCTATTGCGGTGATAGTAACGTAACTTAATGCCGAGACGCCAGGTTAGGGCGAATAATATTGCTGATTCTTCTTTGAATTTTATCAAGAATGTCTACTTATACAGCAAGGGCACCGGTCCATATGTGGCAGCAATATTTAAAGCATGGACGATTGGTAGACTTGTAAATACTTATTCATATTTTTTTCTCCTGAATCTGTCTTATATCAAAAGAGAAAAAATTGTCTAGCACTAAACTGTGAACCAACATTCTTAGCAGCAGGTCTAGTAATGAATTCAGTATAATCATTTCACTTCATGTCAACCGAGATTGTTAACCCGAGAAGGCGAAAACTAATAATTCCTACGGAGGCTGGTATCAGGTGATTGGTAGAGAAGTTTCGGTTGGAAGGTGTTAAAATTAGTAAGCCATTCCCTACTCCAGTTAACAACAGACTGTCGTATTATTTAGATAAGCTGCCAATTTGACGTTATCAAACTGATCAGTACTACTATCATGGAAAGAAATGGAAGTAATAGATAAGAAAATATAGGAGAAATAATTGACAGAGGGAGAAGTGAAGTAAAATGAAGATAAGAAAGAAAGAAAAACGAGAGAAAGTAAGAAAGAAAGAAAGAAAAATAAAAGGAGACTGAAAGTAAAGACAATTCACCGAAGAGACATTATAGAAAAAGAAAGGATAAACGAAAGGAAGCTAGTAAAATAGGACGAAAAAAGATATAGCGAAACTAAAGAGGCTAAAAAGACATACAGAAGAAACAAGGACAGAAGAATGAATGAAAGTAACCAAATTTAACAAGAATGAAGAAAGAAAGGAAGATAAAACGAATTAATTAAACAGGTAAGAAATAATGGCAAAAGAAAAAAGTAAATAATGTAAGAAATTCTGAAAACAACTAAGATCTATGAAGAAGAAATTAAGATATAATGAAGGAAATAAAGAAAACTGAAGAAAGGAATTAGAATAAAGAAAATCCATTAATAAACAAAGAGACAAAGAAAAGAAAAAAAAATGGTGGCGACCAAAATATGAAATATGTAATAGAAAAACTGAACGAACGAAAAAAGTTCTTAAAAAGATAAAAGGAATAACGGAAAAAAAATAAGGAATTTATGACAAATTAAAGAATATATGAAAACAAATGAATAAAAATTTTAATAATAATAAACGAAAGAGAAACTCAAAGGAAAAAAGAAACAGCGTCTCTTTAAAATTGTAAAATGCGACACAAAAAGACTTTGAAGAAAAACAAAGAAGAGAAAGAAAGTGAGAAGACAAATAAGAAAAAAAATGAAAGACGAAAACAAATATAAAAGTTTTAGTTTAAGAAAGAATTATATGTAATAAAAACGGGAAAGAAAATACATTTGAAAACATAAAATACCGTCAAGAGAGATAAATTGGTATGGACAACAAAAAATGTCTAAATAACGTAAAAGTTGACAGGTTGACAAAAAGACGGATATTTATGAAATTAAATACAAAAACAATACTGATATTAAATGGATAAAAAACCACATTTTATTGTATAGTAAGCTTGAATTCTACAATGTGTCCACAACACCGTTAAACAAATAAAAAATGTATTAAATTTACAACACCGTTAAACAAATAAAAAATGTATTAAATTTACAACCGAATTTGGGTATTGGTGAAATGTTTACATAATATGAATAAAATAGTGAATTTTATATACAAATATTTAATAAATTTCTATATAGGCCTCATTTCGTTACACGAAGAACGTCTAAGCGATATTCAATTTCTGTCCATGTAATTCTGAATATTACTTCATCAATAGTCACTGGGTAATGTATTAGTGTTTGAATATTCCGATTTTGTTTCGATAAATAATGACACACATTATATCTTTTCTTGCGGAGTAGTCATTGCTATCCAATTTTAGAGGTAACTCCTGATAATTCTTTAACTGCGGACTGAAACATAAAAAACATAACAGTAATAAAACTAATAATATCATTAAAATAACTTTTATAGTAATATATTAATAATTTTTTAAGCATTTCCCAACCAGCAACGCAGGAGTGCCACTAGCACGCAAGCGATTACAGAGAGTGAGAGCAAGAGTAAAGGATGTTTGATGAGAGGCTACAGAGAAGGATCGAGATCAGGATCAAAGCATCAGAAGATGTCGATTGACATTATATATGCATTTTTGAAGATTATACCTATCAGGGAATCAACTAAGGGGAAGGGAGTTCTACTGTCGGGAAGTTCGAATAGAAGAGGCAGTTACATTTCACTGTTTCGACAGTGAAAGTGTGGGACCGAGATACCAACCTAGTAACACGCTTAAATTAATGCAGTTGGGGTACCAGTGAAAGTAGCTCGTCAGAGCAGATGCCATGAAAATATTTGGAGAAAAGACAGAGGGAAGCCACATCACGTATGTAACAAAGTGGCTGTAGACGAGATGCCAGATCAGGACTTATCAAAATAAGCAACAAAAATTTAGTTGGCACCTCTTTTAAACTTTTAATAATTACTTTTTGAAATTGTCTGAATACTTTTTGTAGACCCTTTATATCCATAGACTTTATATATGTATATATGTTCGCTGAAGAGCGTGTGTTTCTACAAATGTGATTTAGTTTACTTCACAATTTTGAAATATAGAACAATGAACGAAGAAATTTAAGCGTGTCTTTACTTCACAGGGAAATCCAAAAAATAATTAAAGAGCCCAACAAAATTCAAAGGTTGCTTTCAAGGAGAAAAGAGGGTTTATGCGTGTTACATACTTTGATAAATGATCATAGCATATTTTATGATGTCTCTATATTCATTCATATTTTATGATGTCTTTATTCATTCAACCATAATACTTTTTTTTCAATTTCTAATCTATTTCTCTCGCCGATTTGTCTTCATAACGAAACTGAGCCCCAATTTGGTTCCTAGTAAAAAAAAAAAAATAAAGAATTTCTTCTATACTTCTGTTAAACCCCTGAAACCTAATCTGATAATGCCGACGTGAAAGCATTTCAACGGCATTTCATGGCTACCCTTAAATCCATACGAGAAATTGATGATATATGTACGTAAGAAGAACGGTGTTTATATTTTTACTTTTATATTTGAATAGAAAGGCATACCTTCTGTAAATATATCACGTCTTCACATGCATATGGGGATTGAAATCAGAGCGGTGTGAACTGCACAGAATCAGGCATATGTGTTAAGTATATAACGGACATATCTGTTAAGTATATAAGTCATATATTTTCAGTATTTAAGAGAAGACACGGTGGAGTAATGGATAATGGCTCGGATTGAGAAATTCCAGTCAGATCCATTACATTCACTTACGTCCCTTTGGGAAATGCATGAATCCTCTCCTTCTACCCATCAGCTATGGGTAAATAGCAGGATAGACCTTGTTCTATAGCCTTGGATGGCAACTGGTCTATCGCATAAAGAAATGGCAACCTACTGTGGGAACGTCATGTATCGAAAGATGTCTGATCGCCTAAGCGTATAGCACATAACTGATTTATATATTAGCTTTATGAAGTTTGTTTCTATAGAATACTGGCGGCTCAGTAAGAGTGTGTTGAACAACAGTAAGTCTCTCATATCTTTAATCATTGTTCAATCAATATTGCTATATACTGGTGATAAAGAACAATGATTCGCTCGGAAAAATATCTTCCATCTCAAATCTTCAGTTGAATTTTTGCCTGATTTATCCGCTATTCTTAGAACGGCATATATACTCGTTGATATGCCCACAATTCGCCTCATAGTTTCTACTACATTTAAAAATTAGTTCCCCACAAGGATTGTAGATTTTACAATATCCGTGAAACTGTCTGAAGAAAATGAACTGGCTCCTGTTCTCTTTAAACGCTACAATAAATAACACGCTGCTTCAAGCTAACTGCTAATTTGTTTTTTTTTTCAATTTTCCTTATTTTTATACTATGTTTGATGATAAAATTATTATATACACGTGTTGGAATGTTCTTATTGTTCATATTGGGTTGATTTCTTTCCTGTTTTTGCTTGTATGTGTGCGCACGTCTGTTTTTGTTTGCATGCGCCTGTGTTGCATGTATGTGCGTATGAGACAAATGTCGTTGTTACTTCTCTTTTACATCCATTTCTTGTCTTCTTATACCACTCTCTCTTTCTCTAATTAGACACTGTGTTGACTCTCTTTGTTCATTTTTATATTTACAGACGCTCTATCCTTGATATCGAGCACTTTTACCAATAAATATAGTGTTGAAACTTGCCTAATGCAAGGAATAAAAATGCAACACAAAATGTACTTAGAACAAAATGTATTGAAACAAGAAAGTGTACACAATATTTACATATAGTCTTTTGCATATTCCTGGTAAGACCGTTCCTGGAGAATGTGTTGAGTGATTCGCAGTCGGGCAGAGTCTCTGGTTGAATCTCTTGATTCCTTCCTCTCTTCCCGGTACCAACCATATTTATATGGTCGATACTCCACTATGCAAATTAGGTGGATCCTACCACAACATATAGCATACCTTAAAACTATATTTTAGCATATATATATATATATATGTGTGCAATGTGTATCTGTTACCACGAAAAGCCATCTGCAGACCCTCTGCAACCCCTAATCGTGGCGTACAACTAGCAAAAATCTACTAGATTTCATGAGTAATATAACACGGAAGATTCCCCCAGCAGAAAGTTAAACTTCATTATTTTATTTCTGGTTGAAAAAGGGTTTTTTTTTTTTACATCTTTTCACATCGTGATTCTGTTTGGTCAAATAACCTACTAATATACAATAAATATTATTAGTTTTATTATAGATAGTACTATTTTTGCTGTTATAGCCCAGGAAGCTGTGAAGAGCCATGATCACCTACGTGTTTAAAAGATACGGAAAAAGAAATAGATAAAATCAAGTATATGCAAATGAGACTCTAACAGACGGAAAAGTTAGCAGTTTTGCGTTATCCTAACTGCAAGAATCGTTTAAAAAACTGTAATATTGTTTCTGAATGTAAAATATATAAAATGAACATACGCCAACATTTTTCCAGAGATGTATTTTCCTATTTTGTTTTCTATCCAGCCGCAATGATGAAGAAAGCATTGCCTCGCTCCATCCCCAGTGAGACACGCTACAAAAGCCACTCCCTTTCACGAGGCTAGTCCTTTAATCACAACGCAATCCCAGCTACCCTACGAAGGAAAGCCGTCGAACGAAGGCCAATAACGCCAGAATTCTCCACCGCCTCTGGAGTAAAAATAAATCTGTCCGTAAGAGAAGAATATTTATGTCTGCGTCCCGTTCGATAGACCCCGGCTCAACCGTGGACCTGATCAAATTACCGGTCGAAAATATATAGGCACAGGACGCACCCCAAATCAAAGTCTTCCCCACTTTAAAAGGGAAAAAAATAATCCCATCCGGCCACTTTCTATCACCACGGTCGAGTCCTACGGGTTTGTTTTGAGAGGGGAACCCAGCTGCATCGAGACCTCTTCTGATGATGTCGGTTTTTGCTGCATGCCTTGGAAAGCGACCGGCACTACGACGACAAGAGAGAGCATGCAAACCAAACGCATCAATGGAAGTTCTACATTTGCATTTGTAGCGCTCACATAATTTGAGCTCAAGACAGATCGTCACTCCGAACCGAGTTCACTCATCACCTACAACGGTACCGGTAGATGAAGAGGGCACTGCGTTGAGCCAGGCGTCACTCGGTTGTGAAGCAAATAGTAGACGGGCGTGGTGGTGCTTATCGAGAGAGAGAGAGAGAGAGAGAGAGAGAGAGAGAGCCGTCACTGGTTGTGAAGAAAATAGTAGACAGGCGTGGTGGTGCTTAGAGAGAGAGAGAGAGAGAGAGAGAGAGCCAGGCGTCACTCGGTTGTGAAGCAAATAGTAGACAGGCGTGGTGGTGAACATATATATATATATATATATATATATATATATATATACAGAGAGAGAGAGAGAGAGCCAGGCGTCACTCGGTTGTGAAGCAAATAGTAGACAGGCGTGGTGGTCTTATTATATATATATATATATATATATATATATATATACAGAGAGAGAGAGAGAGCCAGGCGTCACTCGGTTGTGAAGCAAATAGTAGACAGGCGTGGTGGTGCTTAGAGATAGATAGATAGATAGAGAGAGAGAGAGAGAGAGAGAGAGAGAGAGAGAACCAGGCGTCACTCAGGTTGTGAAGCAAATAGTAGACAGGCGTGGTGGTGCTTAGAGAGAGAGAGAGAGAGAGAGAGAGAGCCAGGCGTCACTCGGTTGTGAAGCAAATAGTAGACAGGCGTGGTGGTGAGAGAGAGAGAGAGAGAGAGAGAGAGAGAGAGAGAGAGAGAGCAGGCGTCACTCGATTGTGAAGCAAATAGTAGACAGGCGTGGTGGTGCTTAGGGAGAGAGAGAGAGAGAGAGAGAGAGAGACTCAAATTAGTAAAATTGGCCTCTCATTTTATTTTTTCCCAGTTTCTCTCTTTTGATGTGTCTTGTGGGATAGAAACTAATTCTTGGCTCCAGACGCTGCAAGCTTGTTCGAAAGAAATACCCAAAAAGCATTGAGACGATCCACCAAGTATCTCATCAATTAATTCGCGACTGGAAGAAAGTGAAGAAAGAAAAATAGAACTCCAAACTCTAACGTCTACAAGATATCGTACTTAATAAAATTACCTACAAACGTTTCTCAAAATTCTACGCATAGTTTTTCGGGATGTTTCATCATGAAATCAAAAACAAGTGCATGGAAATCTTTTTTTTTTATAACTCTTTATATTTATATCTTCAGCCCTAGATGCAAGAAAGCATTTCAGTCTTTGCCTAAATTAAAACTGTGAAGAGCCTCATGCTTTTACTATGATAATGCATTTCTTCTTTTTTTTTTTTTTTTTCTGTTTTCATTCATGAAGGATGGACCGATGTGTTTTTTTTTGTTTTTTTTAATAAAAAATATTAATCATATCCAAATGTTAAATATAAGAAAAGGACAAAATAGAGAAAGCTCTGATCCTGTCTTTTTCAGTTAAATCGATCAACAGAATCTTATTCGAATACCACACGTCAACGCTAGTTCGATAAACATTGAACTAATTATAAAATGGCAGGAAGCTGACAAATATAGGCTGGAAGTAAATTGATTTCTCTTGTTCGATACTTGACGTGTCATGAGTTTTTGCTTGTGCAACCAATCAGTTTTCTCCGATTATCGCATTTTTAAAAACCCAGTGGAGTTAGTACAACAGGATTAATAATATTATCTGTTTCCTTATAAAAAAACATTAGTCACTCATTGGCCGAACGGACAGTGCTACACTTAGTTCATATCTATTAAATCTTTCTCTTCGTTTTTTTTTCTTTCTGTAAAATGGATCCTCAAGTGCACTAGTTGTTAGCTCTCTTTACAGTACTGACGGAGGATTCCTTCCTAATCTTTGGTTGTAGTCATGTAGAATGACAACATCTTGATTATATTATTCTGATGGCGAATTTGAACCCCAAATTTGTGAAGCCGTATTATTTTCTCTTCAAGTGACATACGCTATCTATTTTTGTTCTTGCTGTTGTTGAAAATCTTCAAGTGGCATGGTTTCTGTTATTTCATACACTTCGTTGTTTCAAAGATGTGTGATCTTCGTTAAATCCAAGAGGCTTCATTCGCTAGATGTCATGTTTAATCTTTGATCTGAGCAATCGATGATATTCTGCTTATAATTATTACGTGAGTGATTTTGGTGTCATTTATGGCATCTATATTGTTGAGGGGTCCTCCCCTTTTTACACAAATGGACTCACCCAGTATATAGATATCCTACTGCTACGTGAAGACTCGAGTCAGTTCAAAACAGAAGAGAACACAGAGAACACACACAGCGAGACAGACAGACAGACAGAACGAACGTAGCGAGCACAGCGATACTTCAATACCAAAGAGTGTATAGATATTTTGCTACTAACCCGTATTCCTGGAACTACTAACCTGCATTACCAGTTTGTATTATTACGTTAATACATTATTTTCATATATTCATTGTTGGCGTTTGTAATTTATTGGTACCGGATTTCATCCCGGAATCCACAACATATATGAAAGTCACAATCTACTGAGACAATTTATGGACATAACACACGTTTTGGCTTTGTAGTAATTTTCGCTGTTAAGAGAAACCTCCTGAAGCTCAGCCTATTTTAATTTCAATATTATTTAAAGACGTGATGGATGTAACAATATTCTACATTATTATTATTATTATTATTATTATTATTATTGAGTGAGAATGAATCACGTCAACAAAGTGACGCTGATGTACGGATATACGAAGACCTATTAACCCATAATTAAACCCAGTCATATAAGGATATATACCAGACATATGTATCACAAATAAATGTACCAGTCTAATGCTAAAACCCCCAACTATAGGCAAATGGGTGTAACTGACAAAAAAACTATAATTTGTGAGTCTCCAGAACATAATACCTTTCTTGGAACTCTCCCACTACATCAATGACTTTTGTGCATATATGTAGCAGGCATAATTTCCAACATAAGTATATGTATACTTTAAGTAAAAATTCGTTTATTTGTTTAGAAGAAGTGGGTATTGGATACTTCCAAGATCTACCAATAAATTATTCCCACCAAAATAAAGCATGTTTTTTTTGTTCTTTGGTCAGATTTTGTGAGTTTAGTCGGGCAAATAAATATAGGCACATATATGTGGACCTATTTTTCTTTGTTGTTGTATTCACAGAAAACAGAAATGGAGCCAAGTTCAAATTCCTACAAAGTCTATTCCGTTTACTTTGTACTTGGTAAAGAATTAAATCTCTTAACCTCGCCCCAAACTAAATAGTAGCATAGTTGGCTATCTAACATTGGATGGCTCTGAACACAAAATAGTATTGAAGGCAATGGGCAGCCACTCCATCAACTTTCCTGAAATGAGAGTCCAGACTCTCGGAAGCTAAAACACGCAACTACAATCAAACAATTGTAATTGAATATTTGTGCGTTTCCATAACCTGACACCTTGCTTGGAACTCTCTCACGACATCGAACCTCCTAACAATATGCGTCATCAATTAAGCAGAGATTTTTTTTTATTTTTATAGGAATGTTATAATGCCATACGATGGCTGAAACCTGAAAGATTTACAGTATATCTACTAGTGCTTCTGCTATGTATCTAGAGGTTCATGAGAAAATCCAAAAGAATCTACAATCTTATTTATCCTGAGCTGACATCTCGGCTCAGCCCACTTTTTCACCGCCGTAACGAAAATTCTTTGTTCATTTTCTGTAAATACAATCATGGCAACTGTTCTGGTGACATTTTCTCTTTGCAACTTTAAATTTAAGAATTATTTTGACACATAGATCTCATCATTTTACAGCATGTAAGCAAGTTATATGGTAACCGTTTCTTCTCTTGCAATTTTCATTTGTGTAACTCTCTTCCAACTTTTTCTTTTCCGATCAACTTTGGTCTTAAAACATTTAAATGCAAAGTCAATCATCATCTGTCTCCTTGACTACAGTATTTTTTTTATTGTTCTCTCTCCTTAGTAACGTTTTTCTTTTTCTCCGTTTTGTTCTTGTTTTTTGACTTTCAGTAACCCCTGGTCTCTTAGGGGCTTTATTGCCTTGCTTGGGAGGACATGATTAAAATTAAAGCATAGGATACATGGAATAACCATATCAAAATCGGTATCATCCTTCCTGTGTGATGTAAAGCTATTTTTGTAGATATATCTATTATAATGCCCCCCCTAAATTTTTTGTTTTTTACACACGTTATAAAGAAATTAGTGACTGATATCTCTTTAATTTCGTATATTTTGCAATATGAAGCTCGAGTTCAAGTTGCAAACATAGATAAAATCCTATTATATATATTTACTTATACTAATTACTAGAGAGAATGAATTTTTGGTGATATCCTTTAACACGCAATATCAAGTTATGTATAATATACATTATGGTATATTATAACAGTCTTTATTCAAGCGCTGGATACTCGTATCTGCGTATGACAGATGGAATCAATACCAGAAGATCCAGTCTATGCTTAATACTGGAATTATAGTCAGCGAATGTTAGACGTTCTTGAGGGGGGAACATTATCTCGCGTGATCAGTAGTTGAACAAGGCCAGTATATAATTACCAGGTCTCTCCGCTAAAGCAGGATGTGAAACAAGATTGTTTTAAAGTGGGGAGCGCCATACACATCCGTATGTCCCGCGCATATTGTCACGCTGACATCGATATTACACCGAGCAAATCTCTCTTACTACAATGAAGACGGCTCACCTGCAGGGTTGGAATGACCTGGACTGAGGAAGTACCTTCCATCTAAAATAAGGAGGAATCGCAGCTCCATTTACATCACGCAAGCAATTACCACGCCTCGGAAAATATTCACTAGGATGTTAACTCTTGTGCCAGGCAAGTATACACCCAAACCTTTAGTCACCATGAAGTCCTACTTAGGTCAAATCTATGAAGAAAACAAATTCATGACAAATACAATTGGTAACATTCGAAATTGAGTCTGATAGCCAAGTACCACCATTCCAATACAAAAAGTATCTAAACGTGATAATTCTTAGATATTTAGGAAAGGTTAGTCAGGAAATGGATTAAAAGTCATAAGAAAAGATTTAAATATTTTTTTTCTTGTGATGAGTGAATTTAATGTATCCAGCGAGTCATACGAAAATGAGGATAGATTTACGCACTAACCCTGTGATATATGTGTTCAAAATATCCGAAACTTTTGACAACACCATGCTTATATGAATAGAATTAAAATTATGTGCAGAGTGCGTAGCGGTTATCAGTCCGCAAAGCGGATTCTGGTGTTTTGCATAAATGCCCTTTGCAAAGACATGAATCCATCTCTTCTGTCTCCAGCTATAGCTTAAACGGGAGAACAGAATGGGTTCTGTAGACTTGAGTGACAAGCATTCTAATAAATGGTGAGTGGGGCCCGTTATATTTTGAATTATTCTAGATACTATTGAGTAGAAATAATTGCGTATACCGATGCAGTTTATTTGGCTATTAAATTAGGCAAATAATAAACATACCAAAAAACCATGAACGCATACATATACGCACGCAAACGTAATAATAACAACCAAGAATAAAATAATCAATAAGAAACTAGAATTATTCACAAACAGTACTATAATTTATCTCAAAACGGCATCCGGATCCAGAATTACTTCCACCCAATAACCCCTTTCGCCCTTGGATTTTGACATCATTGCCAAATTTTATATTTACGTGAGTTATATCTCTCATATAACATACCTTAAAATTTATTTTATCATATATATATATATATATATATATATATATATATATATATATATATATATATATATAATGTCAAACACTAATATTCCATGGTTATAATTTATTACATTGAATAATAATTACGATCCAATTCATCAGACCTTTTTGAATTTGTAGGTCTGATGAATTGATCGTGATGACGATTCCAATGTAATAAATTATAACCATGGAATATTAGTGTATGAGCCTTTTTATATT